CCGTCCTTTGAACCAATTGAGCTATTTGGATCTGTCAAAGAACCACCTGACCAACCTTCAGCAGAGATCCTTTTTTGGCATGGAGGCATTGCGGACCCTCATCCTGCAGGGCTGCCAGATCACAGCTGTCACCCGCAACACCTTCCATTATGCCCGTAAGATGGAATTCTTGGACTTGAGGGATAACAGCATCAAATTAATCAAGCCCCGCGCCTTTTTGCTCAAGCACATGGGGACTCTCCTGCTGTCAGGAAACAAAATCCTCACTGTCAAAAGGAATGGCTTTTACCAGCTGAACTCCCTGAGATATCTCTACCTAGACCACAACTTGCTTTACAAGCTATCTCGGGGAGTCTTTACACCCCTCAAAAAACTAGAAATCTTGGACATCAGTCACAACCACCTCTTTACTTACAACAAATATGATTACCCGAGTCCTTTTGCTGGTCTCCGCTCCCTTCGCAAGCTGGACCTTAGTTTTCAGAGTCCTAGACTACCCATTTGTCCCCCAGACAAAGTCCTCCAAGGCCTTGGGAACCTACAGTACCTCTCTTTGAAGGGCAACCCCAGTCTCTTGTTCCTTAACATCTCGTTTGTTAACCTGACTAGCCTCAAGTCCTTAGATGTCTCCGAAATCAATCCATTCAATGACTCTTGGAAACCTTCATTCAATTTCTTCCAAGGCCTGGGTAACTTAAGCCAACTCTGGATAGATGACAGTGCCATCAAGGACTTGCCTGAACAAATATTTTCTGGTTTGACATCTCTAGAGCAACTCTCCCTGAGCAAGAATGACCTGAGGAACATCAGTAAAAAAACGCTTCGTGGGCTGTCCTCCTTGAAATATCTGGATGTCTCTGGGAATCCCCTGACATGCTCCTGTGATAATGCCTGGTTTCAAAACTGGTCTGTGTCGGAACCAAATATCCAGGTGTCCTTGCTGGGCTCATATCATTGCTTTGGCCCTGGCACGACTGACCGTCTCTTTGCTTATGAAGACTTCTCCTTCTGCTTTGAGACCAGGGGAATATACTTCTTCATTGCCACCACTGTGATCACCCTTTGCTTCCTGTTTACTGTTTTAGTCTATGCCAAATTTGGTTGGACCCTCAGACATGGCTACTACCTGCTGAGGGGCTGGGGCTTCAAGCGCCTGCGCCAAAAGGGACAAGAATACCAGTATGATGCCTACATTTCTTGTTGTAGTCAGGACCACGAATGGGTGGTGAACAACGTTCTGGAAAAGCTGGAAGTGCAAGGAGAACCCAGCTTGCGGCTCTGCTTCGGGCCTAGAGATTTCGCGCCTGGAGAATATTACATAGACAACGTTCAGAATGGAATAAGCCAGAGCCGCAAGACCTTGTGTGTGGTGAGCGACAATTACTTGGAAAGTGAGTGGTGTTCGCTGGAAATCCAACTTGCTTGTTCCAAGATCTACTACCAGAGGGAGGACCCTCTGGTTGTGGTCTTTATGGAGGAAATCCCTAACTACAGGTGAGTGAGGATAGCTCATCAGCCGCAAAGGTGAGACAGGAATATTGAGTGCCAAGGCAGGAGGTCTTATTTCATTCATTCCTTCTGATTTGAACATTTCTTATCCTTTGTTTAAAATAACCCCGGAGGAGGGTACAATTCCACAAATCATAATAAAACCACAATTTAATATTAACACCCATGTTCAGAAATGCTGGGGAAGGCTACTGCCTTTGTGCCCTTGCTTGTGGGCTTCCCATATGCAGCTGGTGTGGGAATGTTGTAGGTACTAGGAGAGGATATATTGATTTAACAGTATCCTTCCTAACTCACACTTGTGAGTCAGCAGCAGAACAACATTCCCCAATATATAGCAGGAAGCTAGTTGGTAGATTCGTTTGAATCTCTTTACTTAAGCAATCCAATCTGGCTTTGTTCAGATTGGATTTTGTTCCTGGTAAGTCCCCTTTTTACCCCTCCTAAAAATAAAAAATAAAGACACAAGAAGCTTCTTTTAAAAGTCACAAGAATTTTACTCACATTCAGTTCACAGTTGGATTCCTGAAGGCAGGCTTTAGCTTAGAGTTACAGAAGAGGGTTTGAGTTCATCCCATATGGGAATGAGCCCATGTCCTGGTGGCTGAGAGCCAGCAGACAGCAAAATACACCAGTATCAAGAGAGCATGGCATCAAGAGGAAGAGGAAGGGAGGTGGCTCCGTGACCAGCCCCTTTTATGGGGTTTCCCAGGGTCACGCCCACCTACCTGGTCACATGCAGGGGGAGGAAGCTCCAGACAGGAAGTATGACAGGAAGTCCTCCTAGCTGTGGAGTAACACCCCCCCGTGTGTCCACTCTAGGCAAACAGGAAGTGTTGTACTTGACTGCTTATATTACATCCCACAGTTGGTTGGCCACCAAGGGAAGCAGGATGTTTTGCTTAGATTCAGCCTTTGTCTGCTCCAGCGGGCCACTTCTTGAGGACCCCGTTGAGTACGTCTGGGTGTGGAGTATGGTCAGTCTGCTAAGGAATGGGAAACCTCAGCCCTGCTTTCCTTCCTTCCTAGGTTGTCTCCCTATCATCGCCTAAGGAAACTGATGAAGCAAGAGAGCTACCTCACATGGCCTGAGGACCCTGAGGCTGAGAATGTGTTCTGGACCAAACTGCACGAGGCCTTGAGCTGTGGAGAGCCAGAGCAAAACACTACGCAATTTGGCGTGACTTGTTAGGTGACGGCCGCAAAGCAAAACACTGTGACTAGCCTTCCTGGGATCAGTTAACCTACAACAGTGCTTCTCAACTGTGCGGCCTTTTAGCTAACATAGAAATCCCCCCCTCCCCACACCCCCTTCAAACCTGGCTCCTCTTATAAGTTTATTTGAATTTCCATTGAAATGTTGTGACTTTTAATTGCAAATAGAATTTTGTGTTTAACAATAGAAATGAATGTAATTCATACTTTTATAGATAAATAATTTTGTTGTTGTTTTTACTTAGCTTGGAATATATTTTTTAGAAATACATCCCCTAAAAAAAAAAAAAAAAGGAAGGAAGGAAGGAAGGAATACATCCCCTCCCTTGAGATCTTTATACAATCCTCAGGGGTGGCGGAGCCCCACTGGCTAAGAAACACTAACCTAGAATGACATGAAGCAGAAGGAAGAACATGTACTGTGATTGCCGCCACCAACAAAGGATGCCATGGCACTTTCCATCTCTGGATGACAGAATGTTTTATAAACGATGCTGCCTGAAATTGGACAGGGACTTGTGGGGCTCACATTAACCATCTAGAGGAGGGGGGGGAGTATAAAAATATTGAATCTAGTAAGCTGATGCCTTACAGTATTGCCTTAAAATTCATTAAAAGAAAAGAATTAAATTGAGTTTTTAAAAAAATCCGTTGGGGATTAATCAATTTTTTTTGGGGGGGGAATACATTCTGAGCATGTGTTCAAGGGATGACTGCGTTTTGAAGTGCTTTAGAAACATTGATAATATCAATAACTGCGGTTATTAGGATTGTTGTCTAAAAGGCTCAAAATTCTAATGGCAAAATTATATAATTCCCTCAGATTTGTTCGAAATGTTGTCTGTATCCTGAATGATATGCTTTTATGGGTTGCTAGTAGAAATAGCTCTTCTTGACACTTGCTTCTTGTCTGTATGTAATTATAGATGGTTAGTACAATGACTTCGATCCCAAAAGAGTAACTGGGGCTGAATCCATTGCAGACATGTAAATTAATTGCACTTAACCCCACTGAAATCAATGGGAAAAGTAAATCCTATTGATTTCAGTGTGAACTGAGTGCAGCTATCTTAGCCTCGTTAGCACAACCCAATGTGCTAAAATGTAAAATGCCTGGTACAATGGATCCAACGTTCCCAGTTATAAATGCTATTAGAGTTGGGGGCTGTAAGGGGAAAACCCAATCACGTAAAAGTGTTCTGGCAAGTTCAGTTTCCCATGTCAGATATGTGAAATCAAGACTTGTTAGAACCAACCTGTTGTGCTCTGAGGCTAGGGATGGAGGAAATGCTATTCAGATTGCATTCAGGACCAAATCTATGATATGCGCATTTTTCAAAAAGAACATGAGAATCAAAACACAGTCATCCTCAAAATTGCTGGGGGGGGGGATGTGTTTAGGAGAAAGTTGCACGAATTTTCATGAGGATTTAATCCCCGCCCCTGCAAACTGCTGCAGAAGTGTGGAGAACTCAGTTTAAGATTGGAAAAATGAGAAACAGAAACCCCAAAAGGACAGATGTTTCCATCCCTATCTGAGCTCTGAGCCTCAACTACCTCTGCCCTTGGGCTCTGTCTGAAGTTTACTATAATCTCAATCTGATTTTTACTTTTTAAAAAAATGCAAATCTAACAGAAAAAAAGAAGATACTACTACTACTACTACTACTACTACTACTAATAATAATAATAATAATATTAATAATAACACCATTGCTAGCTGGCATTAACAATAAGACTATTCCATAATTTAAACATATAAATTAAATATAGGCAGTCCAAATATCCAAAGAGATATCTAAATGAAATTGATGATTATAAACCCTGAGTTTGAATACATGGGCGGGGGGCGGGATACTGTTTGTGCTTTTGGAATATATGTCTAATATTTGCCCTATATTTTGGAATATATGTCTAATATTTACAGGTAGGACGTATTGATATATCTTTCACAGATATTCCCACCGTCTTGCTATCCATCCCCCCATGGCCTACTTGACACCCTGGCTCCCCCTATGTCCTCTTATTCTTCCTGCGAATAATGGGCCCCGTGTAAGTACTTTTCATTAGATGAGAAACCAGTGAATTAGTTCAAAGCTCAGACTTAGCTTCTGTGTCTCTCACTGGTAACTTAATTCTTCTGAGTGGAGTTTTAGCTTTGCAAGTCTCTTATCTGCTGGGGTGGGGGTAGAGGAGGAGGAGGAGGGCAGTGGCATGAGGAGGGACTCTATAAAGGCTTCCAGGCAGAGGCCTTAGCAACAGGGGTGGGAGGAGGATGGGCAAGGGTGAAGGAAAAAGCTCTGCCGTGACACCTTAAGCCCATTAATTTCTCGGTCGCCAGGGGAGACGATGCTTCTCTCCGCATCACCGACGGATTTGGCAAATTGAAAAGGAAGGAGAGGCAGGAAAAGCACAAATCCCGCCTGCCTACAGTGTTGGGATACCTGCTGGCAGCTTGGTTCCGCTGGGTAGTAAAGCTCAGATGCCGGCAAGGGAGAAAAGGCTCTGACGGCTGAGGCAACGCTACCAGATTTCAGGGGAGGGCAAGACCTGATTCGTGTTTGGTGACTTGGCGGGCCCAACTTGACTCCCTCCATTGTACGCTCCGGCTGGAATTAACGTCCACTTTTCCATCAAGACCTTCGGATCGCCTTCCTAATAGAGACCTCTGAGGTGGCCCCTTGGGATTTTCGTTGGCCTCCTAAAAGAGGGCCTAGATGATCGAGGTTGCATCTAAATCTGTTGTGCGGCAACGTCCATAATATCTAGACCACCAGCCTCTATCTAGGATCACCTCCATTCTCCTTCCTTGGCTGCAAAACCCATTCCGGACTGCTCTCCCTACCCCCATCCCTTTCCCATCCGCCAGAGCCATCGCAGCTGTGGAGATGGCCTTGCATTGGGCGTTGCTCTGCCTCATCTTCTCCCCACTGATGCCGGCCACTGAATACGGCTTGCCCAAATTCATCTGCAGCCCTATGCCTCTGGATATGGACAACGGCTGCCAGTCAGCCAGCCAGCAGCGACACGGAGCAGGGGCTAACAGCGCGGGAAATGGGCACTGGGTAGGGACTCTTGAGGAAGCCAAGGAAACCATCCTGCACCTGCGGGAGACCGTGGTGCACCAGAAGGAGACAATCTTGGACCAGCGGGAGACGGTGCGGGAGTTGACGGCCAAGCTGAGCCGCTGTGAAGCCCATTCCCGGAGACATGTTGGGGAGCACCATGGTGGTCACCATGAAGAGAACCACAGCCATGGGCATGGGCATCACGAGGGAGTTCACAGAGGCCACCACGAGGGTGGGCATCGGACCCACCATGAGGATGGTCACAGGGGACATCATGAGAATGCACACCAAGGCCACCGCGAGGATGGGCATCAGGGCCACCATGAAGAAAGTCACAGGGGACACCATGAGGCTGGGCACCGAGATCCCCATGAAGGCATCCATGCCCGGGAGAACGAGTACCACCATTTTGGTCAACGGGAGCACCATGAACTACAGGTGGGGCACAGCACCCATGATGCCTTTCGCAAGGGGGCTGCCGCTGCCAACACCATGGAGGACCCACCCAAGGAGACATCTGGGGTGAACCAGATGGAGAGGATGCTGGAATCCCTCAAGGAGAGACTGGAGCACCTTCAGGTACCAAGTCTTGTGCATCAGCCACCTCTTCTCCAGAAAACTATCCCTTATCTTTCCCAGTTATGCTTTCTTCTCATATTTGTCCATCTGTTCCTTGTCTACCCAAATATTCACCACCCAAGTTTGCCTCCCATCCCTCCCTCCTTTAACGTGATCACAGTGAACAATGGCAGGCAATGCTCTTTATCCCTGGTTAAAAAAACCCCCACCTTATTTAACACACAACCCTCTATAAATCCAATGTCCAAAAACATTTCCCATTCTGCCAGATACACTTTCTCGCATCAAGCTTTCACGCTTCCTCTTCACATCTGTGAAATACACAACTAGATTCACATGGCTAAGTTGTCTTAGCCATAGGGATGATTTTTGGACATTGCATGTGAGAAGCAAAATTTAATATTTTGACAGTTTATTTGAAACACATTATTTCGCTCAAAGAATTCTGGGCACTGTAGTTTACCCCTCACAGAGTTACATTTCCCAGCAACCCTTAACAAACTACCGTGCCCAGAATACTTTGAGAGGTGCTTTAAAGCTATAGTGAAGACACGGCCTATGAAGCTACCCCATCACTACCAACAATATCTGAATGGGGAAAACCACAAATTAAGGTCAGTCAGTACTCCCAGGGGACACCTAGCTTGCCTGTAGTACATGTGAAAAGGATCTAGGGGTCTTAGTAGACCACAGGTTTAACATGAGTCAACAGTGTGATGCAGCAGCACAAAAAGCTAATGCTATTCTAGGCTGCATCAACAGAAGTATGGTGTCCAGATCAAGAGAAGTAATAGGACTTCTGCCTTGGTCAGACCCCTCCACCTGTGCTGTGTCCAGTTCTGGGTACCACAATTTAAGAAGGATGTTGACAAGCTGGACAAGAGGAGGATGACCAAGATGGTCAAGGGTCTGGAAACCAAGCCTTAAGAAGATGGTTGAGGGAGTTGGGTATCTTTGGCCTGGAAAAGAGGAGATTGAGAGGAGATAGGATAGCCATCTTAAAATATCTAAAGGGCTGTCACACATGGAAGATGGAGCAAGCTTGTTTTGTCCTGCTCTGGAGGGTAGGACTCAAATCAATGGCTTCTGGTTACAAGAAATAACTTTCTGACAGTAAGAGGTGTTCAACAGTGGAATGGACTCCCTTGGAAGCTGGTGGACTTTCCTTCCTTGGAGGTTTTTAAGCAGAGGTTGAGTGGCCATCTTTCATGGATGCTTTAGTTGATACCTTGCAGAGAAGGGGGTTGGATGAGAAGAAGCTCAAGGTCCCTTCCAACTCTACAATTCTATGATTCTATGAAATATTTTGGATCTCATTTCTTAAGGACGCCGTTGTAGACTGATCAACCTACCTACATGTCTATTCATCCATCTTCTGTAACAGAGGCCTTCATCAGGCAAGATGCTGCACAAAGCAGTGGATAAAGGAGGATATTCTCTGTCTTAAGGCAGTATATCTCCTGCTTAAGCCATATCGATCAGGTCCTGATTCTTCCCACTCTGTAAAATCTCTAGAGCTGGGTCATCTGTAGCTTGGTTTTCATCACAGTTTCTATACACCTTTACCCTTTATGTCTGGCAGAAAAATATCTGAATTGACTCCACTGAAAAAAAATGCGCTGAAAGTCATTTTTGTAAAGAAAATTCTCTGGGTGGATTTATATCTCAGTCATCACTTCTTGTTGCAGTCATCAAGTGAAGAGCATGCGTTTTTGGCTTTATCACATACGGTTGGCCACCATTCTTTCAGTTAAGAAGTGATCCACCCCACACCCCATGTTCCTATCCCTTGAGGGTGCCAACATCTGGCACTCCAGATGTTGTTGGACTGCAGATCCCATTATCCCTGACCATTGGGCTGGCTGGGGTTGATGGGAGCTGCTCTAAAACTATAGTATGGTGTAAACCCATTGTACCTGTCCCAGTATCTGTTGCAAGAGAGAAAAGATCGCCTTCTGCCACCTTTGTATTAAACTCTCTAAAAATAGGCAGAGATTGCAACTGAGTCCCCTTTTAATCTTCTTTTCCCTAGTCTAAACATACACAGTTTCCTTTACCTTTCTTCATACTGACTAACACACTTTCTAAACGTTTGGGTGTCATGTTGCTTTCCTGCCCTCAGGTCCACCTCCCTCTTTTTCCTTCCACCCCACTTTCCACAAACACCCTGTATTCCTTGTCTCTCCCATCAACATATCTATCTCAGCAGCCAATGTATCTCCTTCAGTAAGGAAGATAGTTCACACGGTTTCTTGGAACTCCTTTTCCTAACCGCAGGGATAAATGTAGGTGAAATCTTTGTTAGGACTCCGTAATGGTTTGGTGTCAGTGGTCTCTCTGCCCTTTGCCTCCTGAACTTATCACAAATGACCACTCACTCACATGTACTCTGTCTATCTGTCTACTTCCCTCCCTCCCTATGGCCATATATAACCAGAGACAGAAAATCATCTTGTTTTGCTTTTACAAAAGTGAGGTTGGTGTAACAGAACCAACAGCTTGCACATGATACAGCACAATGATTCCAGTTGAAGTCAGTTTTCTGGTTCCAGTTGAAGTCAATTCATTTCTTTTTACAAGCTCAGTCTATCCACACAAGATAGCACTCAGCTATCTCGGTACCTGCAAATGAGCAGGTCCTTTTAGAGGCATTTTGGTCTCAGCGGGAAAATGGTCTTCATCAGCCTTTATTCCCCCACACCCCAACACACAAACCTTGATTTCCCAAAGTGCATATCACACCAGCCTCCTCCCTGAGGCCTACCACACCTCCCAAGAAAGGAATAACATGTCGACCAAGCTCCAAAATCGACAGCTGGGTGAAACCTTTATTGGGGACTTACCACAAGCCTTTTAGTTTTCCAGACGTTGTACAAAAAGAGAAGAGGCATGGGAAATAGGAACTTTCTTTTTTCAGCATTTTGAAAATTGAGACCTTGGGTGGAATTCAATGTTGTGCTATGACAAGCATGGCAGCATGCAAGGTGGAATGACCTCCCCACCATTCCCCCATGCACTGTTCTGGGGGTTCCTTCAATCCCCCTAAAACAATACTATGGGGTGTATAGGAGGAGGAGAGGGGAGAAAGTCCCATTGCACAAGCAACATATTGCCTGATGATTTTGGAGTGTTTCCCCCCCTTATGGCTCACCATAAGTTTTTAATGAAGATCAAAGTTTTCCTTTCCCTCCCCATCCCTCCTTCTTCTGACAACAGCCGAAACTACTGCCAGGGTGGCGGCATCAGTCATCTAGACATTAGGAATTCTTTCTGACCGTCCTTCCCTCTCAAAGGCTATCCCTCACCTCACCTTCCTCGCAGGGTTGTTGAGACGAACAATAATAATACGTGATAAAGGTAAAGCCTGTACCGACCATGTTAAATCGGGCCTCTCTCACCACGTTGCACATCCCGTACCTTACAATTGCGTCCCCTCGTGTGGAGCAACTGCAAGATCTCCCAAAACGGCTGTCGGACGAGGGATAACAAATAGGCCAGGAATCTAGGAGAGAGGAAACGTGCAAATGGATTCATGGAACGCAGAGGTGGATCGATGCATAGGAAGGTTGGAAGGAAAGCAGGATAGATGAGACAAAGGAGGATGGGAGAACAGATGAGATGGAGTGAAGGACTGGCAGATGTAACACTCAGGCCCTCACTGCAAAAAAGAACTCAGGAGGTCATTTGGTGCTGCAACAGTTTTAGGGGCACATAAATAATAATGTTTATATGATCTGAGAGAGCATCCTCCTCCTCTTCGGGGACAGATCAGGAGTCATTGAAGATGGCGGAGTGGGTCTTGAGAACACCACAGAATGGCACTTCCATTGAAGACTATGTGCTGCCTATTCTCTTAGTGCCCCCCTCCCCACTTGCCTACCTGACCATCTGACCTGCCTCTCATGCTGTGCTCCACACCTTTCCATGCCTTCTCTCTTCACCTTCATAGCTTTCCCCTCACACACCACCTGTTAATTACCCTTCGGAGGCCATTCCTGTATAGGTCCTGCCCCATTTTTCTCCTGTGCATATCCGGATTCCCACAATATGGCTCTCATTCTGTCTGGGGTTATATGTGGACGCATACACACCATACATGTAAAGGACATTCCCCTCCACCCACCCAAAGAATCCCGGGAATTGTACTTTACTTATCACAAAATCTACAATTCCCAGCGCCCTTAACAAAACTACAGTTCCCAGGATTCTTTGGAGGAAGTAGTTGGATTTAGGTGTGTTTTAAATGTATGGTCTGTTTGCAGCCTAAGTGGGAAACAGGATTAATTAAGCCTTCAAAAGGGGGTGGGGGTGGGAATTGACTGGTTTGATTTTAGACAATGGCCCTTTCAGACAGGAAGTAAAATCATGTTGTTGTTGTTGTTTAGTCGTGTCCGACTCTTCGTGACCCCATGGACCAGAGCATGCCAGGCCCTCCTGTCTTCCACTGCCTCCTGCAGTTTGGTCAAACTCATGCTGGTAGCTTTGAGAACACTGTCCAACCATCTCGTTCTCTGTCGTCCCCTTCTCCTTGTGCCCTCCATCTTTCCCAACATCAGGGTCTTTTCCAGGGAGTCTTCTCTTCTCATGAGGTGGCCAAAATATTGGAGCCTCAGCTTCAGGATCTGTCCTTCCAGTGAGCACTCAGGGCTGATTTCCTTCAGAATGGATAGGTTTGATCTTCTTGCAGTCCATGGGACTCTCAAGAGTTTCCTCCAGCACCATCATTCAAAAGCATAAATTCTTCGGCGATCAGCCTTCTTTATGGTCCAGCTGCAGTAAAATCATATGGGGGTAATTTGGATGGCAGGATTCCTTCATTTCCTGGACAGAGAGGTTTAATCAGAAAATAATACTAATAATGGAAAGTGCTAAATCTGATGAGTTTTTGACATTTAAGATCTATGTGCTGGCTCAGGCATTTGATAGTGACTAATACCAAGCTTTTGCAGATATTGTTGTATTTCACTGCATTGATTTTAATGGGAAAATGTTTATTTTGCTGTGACCTACCCTGAAAGAAAATTACACAAAGCAGTGTACAAAAATAGTAAAAGCACAGAACAATAACAATACAGTGAACTGCCCTGAGACCTTCGGGTATAGGGCGGTATATAAATTCAATAAATATTAGTACTACTACTACTACTACTACTACTACTACTACTAATAATAATAATAATTCCACCACACATTTTCCTGTACAGCTGAATCTGATACATGGTAAAAAATTTTCCTGGGACATGGCAGGCTAATATAGACTACGGATGGGGAGCCTATGGCCCTCCAGATGTTCCTGGAGGATGTTGTTCCTGTTATTCCTGACCATTGGCCATGCTAGCAGGGGCTGCTGGGACTTGGAGTCCAACAGTATCTATGGGCTATGGGGTTCCCATCCCTGAAATAGACAATCAAGCTACTCTAGGGCCACACAGCTTACACTGGGTGGGGTGGGGGGTGAAGGTGGAGATAGTTTACCTGTTATTTATCTGGACTCAGTAGGGTACAGGTGGGAGAGTCATATAAGAACCAGGGAGACAGATTGAAGTCCCTACATAGCCACAAAGCCCACTAGGTTACAGGCTAAAGGAACCATGCCTCCCTTGCAACGTCCAACCCATCATGGAGGGAAAGACCGTAACTATCCCACCCTAGTTGCCCAGTAGGGTCAACTGGGTTGGGTGTCTGGGCTTTCTTACCCTGGGAGCTGAGTGGAAGTTGGCACCAAGCTTAGCTTGGTGGCTCTGTTTCTGGAGCGTATTGTCTGCTCTGCAGGGAACTAAGGTAGGATAAAAAGCAACGTGTCTCCACTCTCTCCCCCACACCTCGGCAAATTATGCAGGTTTCGCACAAGCTACAAAATGATTTTCTGTCAGTCAGCTTTAAAGTCTGCTTATTTTTCAACTTCCAGTTCAATGTGATTTGCTCTCGATAGAAATAGAACACAGCTGTACTTTGAGGTGACACTACCAAGTGGCCAAGCGCTACAAATATTATGAGCACGATAAGTCTTCTTCTTCTTCTTCTTCTTCTTCTTCTTCTTCTTCTTCTTCTTCTTCTTCTTCTTCTTCTTCTTCTTCTTCTTCCAGCTGTAAAGAGTCCATTTCAAAACAGGATGACGTTTTTATTTGGTTAGAACTTTCCTTTATTGTTATCAAATAAGAAAAATACATCCAAAATCCTTCTCCAGAACTCAAGTAGGACAGGACTGACAGGTTTGGCAGCAAAGCAGCAAATAACTGAGAGGTCGCTCTGGGCGTTTTTCATGGGCACTGCCAGCTTTGGCAACCCTGTACAACCTGAGGCTCAGTAGTACTAGAGCACCTGATTTGCATGGAGATGGCCCCATGCTCAATTCTTGGCATCTTCAGGTAGGGCTGGGAATGAGGTACACACGATGGCCTCTGAAGCGCGGCCCATGCACATGATTTCCCCCAAAGAATTCTGGCCACTGAAGTTTACGCCTTAAAGAGTTGCCCGTTCCCATCAACCTTGAGCAAACTACAGTGCCCCAAATTATTAATGGGGAGGGGGAGAGAAATGTGCCTCTAATGTGCTTTAAAAGTATAGTGTGTACACAGCCTAAGGCTTCTTTAAGTGGATGACAGCTCTGATTGCTAGTGATGTTGTGATTATTTAAAAGATCTTTATCCTGACTTTCCAGTGCAACAAACCTCAAAGAGATTTGTCGCTCCCATTGAAACAGTGTAAAACACCCACCAGACATACATTGACAAGGGCTAAGAGGACACGGGACATTTGTTTAGGGAGGTAATTCTATAGGAGAGGTTTTTCCACAGTGGGGGCCCTAACCTCCAAAGGGCAGGGCTATTGGGAAGAGGGCCTCAGGTGAACATCCAATTGATGGGCAGCTACAAATGGTAGAAAGTGTTATTTTAGATATCCTGAGCCTAGGCTGCTGGGCCAGAACTGCACTTGTAAATCAGGATAGAAGCCAAAGTCCCTGAGGTATGAAAGCAGCTTCTGTTGTGTTGCTATTTGTTGCTATCAAAGTGTTGGTGCTGACCTTTAAAGCCCTAAACGGCCTCAGTCCAGTTTACCTGAAGGAGTGTCTCCTTCTGAGGTCCAGTGCCGAGGGCCTTCTGGCAGTTCCCTTGCTGCGAGAAGCCAAGTTACAGGGAACCAGGCAGAGGGCCTTCTCGGTAGTGGCACCCGCCCTGTGGAACACCCTCCCACCAGATGTCAAAGAGAAAAACAACTACCAGACTTTTAGAAGACATCTGAAGGCAGCACAGTTTAGGGAAGCTTTTAATGTTTGACAGACTATTGTATTTTCATATTTTGTTGGAAGCTGCCCAGAGTAGCTGGGGAAACCCAGCCAGATGAGCGGGGTATAAATAAATAAATAAATAAAAATAATAATTATCATCATCATCATTATTATTAAATATAAATATAAAACAAATACAACTCATATTTACAAGACCCATAAACTGGGAAACAGCTATCATAAAACCATGATTATAAAACCAATAATGACATCCTACAAAAAAAACAATCCATACCCAAATTGCTTGATAACTAATACAAAACATGTAAGAATTTCCTAATGAAATGCATGTCAGAACAACATTGTTTTCAACTGATATTTCAGGCATAGAGAGATCTCTGTCCTGAGGCAGGTAATTTCATAGCCTAAGCCAATGGTTCTCAAACTTTTTTCTCTGGGACACATTTTCAGAAGAAAAAAATTGCTCATTGCCACACTGATTATTATTTTTTAATTGATAAGAAATACACTGGAAAACAAAAAGAAACGACTCCTAGCAGTGCTTGATTTATAACATAGAGAACAAAATACTTTCTAATATGATCATGGGGCATCCAGAAAGTATAAAACAATGCAAATATCCTGCAAATAAAAAAGTATATATTGATACTATACGATACTACACTGAAATGTTTGAACATTTCTTAGATTGTCCTTGAATCTTCCTGCCACACTCTTTGAGAACCACTGGCCTGAGCCCATTTTCTTCAACTTGGGGACTCTAGGTGTTCTTGGACTACAACTGACCATTGGCTAAACTGGCTGGGGATGATGAGAGTTGTGGTCTCAACTGATCTGGCAACCCAAGGTTAAGAAACATTGATCAAGGGGCCACCACTGAGAAGGCCCTTTCCCACGCATCCATCTATTGGCCAGTTTTTTTGTGGAGTGAAGGGAGGAATGCGAAACAGGATTCCTGTGTTTTCTCTTAAAATGTTCAGTTTTTCCTGTGGAGCTGGAGTGCCCAGAAGCTAAGAAATCCAAGATATTTTGTTTCTCAAAAAGAGTAGAGGCCTTCAAAATATGTTCTGAATAGCACCTTTGTACATGGTTTTATGATTCTGCTTCGTACGTGATGGCTTTTACAGAAGAAGCCTTGAAAGGAGGGACAGGACAGTTCTGCCGCCATCACTGTGGGTGGGAATAGAGATTACTAGAGCATCTGAGGTGTTAACCTGAGTGCAGTGACTAAAAATAATTCTGCTGCCCTTTTCCCTCGCTTTCCCCCTTCTTAATACGTAAGCAAGAATTAGATATCCAGGAACACACCAAACTGGAGGTGGGGGTACAGTATCAAAGTTGGTGGGTCTCCCAGTTCAGGCCTGTGGGCAGGGAAGGGACTGTGGGAATTGGCAGTAGTGGCTCAAGATATTTTGCTTCCAGAAACAGAACCCAAATGTCTTCCTCCCAGCCCCTGGCCCCATTTGAGAAAACACCAGAGAAAGTCTTGCTGCATCAGTCAGACACCACTTCTTGTCCCCCTCTTGGTGTTGCCTGAAGCAGTTTGTCACACTTGCTGTGCGGCAGGGCTGGCTCCAGGTAGCTAGTGCCACAGATCTGTTGACCTGGGAATAAGTTCCATTGAACTCAATAAGGCTTACTTTTGAGTAGACACATGCAGGATTGTACAGTCAACGAACTGTTTGTTTTATGTAGGCTGCATCTTAGACAAGGCCTGATGAATTATTATTATTATTATTATTATTATTATTATTATTATTATTATTATTCCACTAGAGTGTATGGTTGCGTACACAACATACCTTTAAAGCACAAATGTACGCAAGAATCCTGCGAACTGTATTTTACCCCCAACAGAGCTGTAAGTCCCAGCAACCTTACCAAACCACAGTTCCCAGAATCTTTGGGGGGGGGGAAAGAATGTTATTTAAGTGTGCTTTAAAATTTAAAGCTTAAATGTATGGTGTGTATGCAGCCAAAGTCATTTAAAGAACAATGAACAAGCAACACAGGTTACTTCTCTGTGGCACTTAACAATCTAAAATTCAACACAAAGAAGATGGAGGCGAAAGTCACAGGAAGGCCATGTGTTTAGTTGGTTATACGTTCAGCAGGGGATGAGAACTAATAGATTGTGAAGAAGGTTTCACAAAAAAGTAGCTTTCAGGAGAAGAAAGATGAGAGAGGCAACAGAAGTCCTGGTAGGAGGTTCTGGGGTTTTGAGGCAGCAAGAGATAAGTGGCAGAGTTACAGAATTAATGGTTGACATGTCTGCCCGTCTTGCCTTCACCAGCACAATCGGAACAGCTCTGTCTTTTCCACGTCCCTGCGCGATGCTCTCCAGAAAAAGATAAGCATCTTGGAGCATCAGATCCACGAGAAATCAAACACCTCTGAGCATCACATGGTGGGTGTGCCAACAGCAGCAGGGCTCAGGCACAAGCACGTCTCTCATGGGCACAGTGTTGAGAAAGGTGAGTGGCAGTCACACACCAGGTGTTGCCAGGGTCAGGGTGGGGAGAGGGGGTTTGGTCTTGAGACAATGGGGTGGAGATGGAAGGAAGGAAGGAAGGAAGGAAGTCATCTTCAAGTATCTGAAGGGTTGTCATAGAATAAATTCATTTTCTGTTGCTCCAGAGAAAGGGTAGTCAATGTTATTGGAGCACAACTCCCATAATTCCCCCTGACCACTGTCCATGCTGACTGGGAATTGGAATCTAAAAACTGTCAGGAGCTCGTCCTACACTCGAGTAGGATCCTGGCAGAGACACATGCCCGACTGGCATGTTCTCTCCCTCCTGGTCAATCGTTTGGGAGCTTCAGAAGCTTTCTTCAGCCCGAACATCACAGCGAACGATGCCAACAGACATCGGCACACTTAGGGATCCGCAGAGTCTTTGCAGCTTGCATGACAGACCTCAGCAACTCAGCATTTTGGCTAATCTACTTTATTTACATATAAACACACACGCCCTGCAACACGGCTCCCTCTCTCTCTAGCATCAGACAGCAAAGAGAAAAAGAACAAAGGACAATAGTCCCACTTCACGGAACACAGTAACACAAACATCCTTTCTCCGTCACTTCCCACGTTGTGGACTCAAAACATAGACCGTCATGTGATAGACAACAATCCCATGACTGCAATCATGGAGCAGGAATTCAAACAAAAACATGTGGAGGTCACCACTGCACTGGCAAACCTTGCTTCAGAGCCATGGTGGCTCTGAATCAAGTGTGTATGAGTGGGCAACCTTTGGCCCTCCAGATGTTGCTGAACTTCTACTCCCCATCATCTTTGCTCACTGACCATGTTTGCTGGGGGTGATGGGAGGTGTTGTTCAGTGACATCTGGAGGGCCAAAGGTTCCTGCTCTAAAATTAATTTCTTAGGCAAATAAATTTATCAGCATGTGGACAGTGGAATAAGTGGATGTCATTATTTAGTGGGGTGAATCATGATCCAGTCAGAAGAGAGATGGGCGGAAGGATGTGTGGAAGGAATGACAACACAGTGGATTCGTAGATCGGCAGATCCACGGGGAGGCAGAATGGAAAATGTGGGGATGGATGTCTCAGTGACAGAACATTGAAAACATGGCTTGGTAGATAAAAGCAGTCATATGTGGCTCATTGGCTGGTTCATTGGTTGTGGGATACAAGGAAACCTTAAAGATTTTATAAAAAAAAACACACACAAAAAACACAAAACATAATTTGCAAATACAACAAAAAGAAACATAGAAAAAAAAATTAAATGCCAACTGACTTTGTCAATAATATATTCCATCAATCCTAAATTAAATGTGTGGATCAATATAAGTAGTCCATATGTACAGATAGATACCTAAAATGAGACTGGCAATTATAAGCCATTCTTTCAAACACAGAAATGACAGTAAGATCTTCAAACCACTGAGTAATATCTACTGGAGGCTTGTCCTTCGAACCTTATAGTATAAGGCTGTGCCCATAGCATACATTTAAGGCACATCCCCTGCAAAGAATCCTGGGATCTGTAGTCTTAGCCTCGCAGAGGTACAATTCTCAGCACTCTTAAGAAACGACAGCTTCTCGGAAGAGGGGGTGTGTGCTTCAAATGTTAGGTGTGTATGCCCATTTTAAGGATTCTCAGAATCCACTTGCTGTATAGGTGGAAGGAAACTTTAGCAGCCGTGTGAACAGATATGACTGGATAGACCATGATGAATGGAAATGGACAGCTCAGGAGACAGACAGCAGAGTGTGATGGATGAATGCTGTTGTTGTCCATTAATATTATTTCATTTGCACCATCAGTGTGCACGGGGCTTTACAAAGAAGAGGTACCTGCCCCTAGGAGTGTACAACAGTGTAAAAACCCAGTACAAGGAAATCCACAGAGAAAGTGGAGGGAGGAGCCAACTAGGAAATTGCGTATGATATTTCTGGTGATCAGGCTTAGTTACAGTTGGTGGGGGGAAGATGGGAATGGATCAAAAGAGTATTTGGGGGGTGGATGCTTGGTAGATAAACTGGGCAGTTAGCAGCCGATGGATGGACAAACCCAATTCCCCTCCATTTCTCTGTGTTGGCAGCTCAGTCCCACATCTCTGATCCCCTCTGTCCTCCAGGAAACAAGGTGGAGAAGCAGTCTGAGGATTTCCGGGTGGGCTTCCCCCTCCGCACTAACTACATGTACGTCAAAGTGAAGCGTACGCTCCATCACGAGATCTTTGCCTTCTCCATCTGCCTCTGGCTCAAGTCCAGTTCAGCACCGGGAATGGGCACCCCTTTCTCATACTCTGTGCCAGGCCAGGCCAACGAAGTGGTGCTCATCGAGTGGGGAAATAACCCCATGGAACTGCTGATCAATGACAAGGTACGGGAGCAAGGCCAATCTGGGAGCTTCTTGAGTGGGTGGCGGTGGTCAGATATGTTGCGAGACTCACTGTGAGATGAGCTTGTGGGTGAGCAAAGAGTTTGGACCCTGGGTGACAACCTGGAGGCAGAGACGGAGGATGAGTCAGAAGGAAAATGAACTGATATTGATTTACATATATTGGTAAAGGTAAAGGTAAAGGGACCCCTGACCATTAGATCCAGTCGTGGCCGACTCTGGGGTTGCGGCGCTCATCTCGCTTTATTGGCCGAGGGAGCTGGCGTACATCTTCCGGGTCATGTGGCCAGCATGACTAAGCCGCTTCTGGTGAACCAGAGCAGCACACGGAAATGCCGATTACCTTCCCGCCAGAGTGGTACCTATTTATCTACTTGCACTTTGATGTGCTTTCGAACTGCTGGGTTGGCAGGAGCAGGGACTGAGCAACGGGAGCTCACCCCGTTGCGGGGATTCGAACCGCCGACCTTCTGATCAGCAAGCCCTAGGCTCTGTGGTTTAACCCACAGCGCCACCCGCGCCCCTTTTCTCACATATATATTTTTCTCTCATATATTAGTAACTTTGTATTAATGTAACATTTTTATAGGTAACGGTGTATTTTTGTAATATTTTGTCAAAGCTTTCTTTTGTTGTTTCAGTTTTCTGTACACCGCTTAGAGATATTTTATAAATATCTAGAAATCAAATAATCAAATATGTTTGAAGAATGGCCACCATGTTCATGTTTTTCCTCTGTCTCGTCTGCCTTTTGGGTTACAATAAATAAAAAACCAAAAACAGTTTTTTTATGATCACTTGGGCTGGAACAATTCAGTGATGTCCTACCAAATCTGAAGAGGGCCCAACAATAAATTAAAGAGACAGAAGCCTGCCCTGTTTGCCATTTCAGGCCTTCTGGACTGGGGTTCTGGGATATACAACACAAAATGAATTCCTCACAAGGTAGACAAGAGGGGACACAGACAGGGGATTAAGAAATCTTGACCAAAGATTTGCTGTAAACGAGAGATGTACAGTAGCTATAGATACCTTGACTTTTGCATTAGAGTATTCTGTGAGCTACATCCTCCCATACCTAATTCTGGTTTTGGAATAAATTGTGTCAATTGAACAAACCTTGATCAACAAACATCCATTCATTCACAATTACAGCTACAACTCTAGAGTCCACAGCTGCATCGTGTCTTTATTGGAACCAGCCAAAAAGTCCCAGACATGTGGCAATGTTTTGAGTTTCTCCATAGCTCTTCACCAGATGGGATATCACACAAAGGGACAGACAAGGAAAAGTTTGAAACAAAAAGTACACAACTAGATGTTGTAGCCACGAGGTTGCCATTTCCAAGATGCAGATTGCAAGCTACACAGCTAGTTTAGTTTTAGATAAAAATCTTCACCCCACCATCCTATATTGCCCGATGAAGTGTTCTGGAGAACTCAGAAGTTGCCACATTGCTGTGAATTTTTGGTTGGCCCTATTAAGAGTATTACCCCATTATAGACATGGTTTCTTTTTGACAACCTTTGTCTTTTACGTGTTTTGAAGTTCAGCTTGTCCTTTGGCCACAGCCTTCAGCAAAGACCTCAGAAGGGATATTGAGGCATGCCTCAGGATTCCATTGAAACTGGATCGGCAAAATATATCGTGCTCCATCCTGCCTATCCTCTCCCACTGTATTGATCTCCCTCCCAAAAACATTGGAGGTGAGGCACAGAGAGATATTCCCAAGGCTTTATAGCTGTCTGGATGGCAGCTATAACCTGCTTCTTCTAGTTCCAAGGCTGTGCAGGTTCAACTTAGCTGGTGCCATTCAGATCATGATACACTTATTGCAGCAATACTCTTAGGGCTCAGGATGTTTGCTCACCCCACTTTAACCTTTTTTCTCTGCAGGCTGCCACATTACCACTGGCCATTAATGATGCTAAGTGGCACCACATCTGTGTGACCTGGTCAACCCGGGATGGCATTTGGGAGTCTTACCAGGATGGAGTCCGGAGAGGGAGCGGAGAGAACCTGGCTCCCTGGCATCCGGTGAAGCCTGGGGGTGTTTTCGTACTGGGCCAGGAGCAGGTAAATACCCCTCAATTATTACTTCTAGAGAGCCATTTCTGGTTCCTCTAAATCTGGGATGGGGAACACGTAGCCCTCTAAGTGTTGCTGAATTACGCAGTGCCATAAAACATGCATTTTTGGGTTCTGTGCAAGCATGGCTCAGAAAAAAGTGTCTATTCTGAGTTGCGTGATCTCACACGGGACATGTGATCTTGTGGAGGTCATGTGACTCACGCAGGAGCACAAGCAGAAAGATGTGCGCCCTGGTTTGGGGTCTTGAGATGTTGGAAGGTGTGTTGTCATCCTTGACAGTTGGCCATGCCAGCTAGGGCTGATGAGAACCAGATTCAAATTCATGGAGGAGAAGGCCACGATCCCTGAAGGCTATGTTCTACCTCCACTCTCAGAGGAGGTAAATGCTTCCGAATATCACTTGCTGGAAACCACCGAAGGGGACACTGCTTCTGCACTCAGGTCCTGTTTGTGTGCTTTCCATAAGCATTTGGTTGGTCAGTGTGAAAACTGGAAGCTGGGCTGGAGTTGGCCTGGCTCATCAGGCTCTTCTTATGTTCTTATGGAGTCCAGCACCACATGGAGGGCCACAGATTCTCTCGCCCTGCTGTGTGTTCACTCTCTTTCCCCACTCCTCTTCCTACAGGACACTCTGGGTGGCCGCTTTGATGCCACTCAAGCCTTCATTGGGGAAATCTCAGATTTCAACATGTGGGGCCACATCCTGACACCAGGCGAGGTTTACAAGATGGCTACCTGCACCAGCTACGCCGGTGGCGACATCATCAACTGGGCCGAAGCCTCCATGGAGCTTCACGGAGGAGTAGTCAAGCTACCATTTAATGCCTGCCACTGAGAGGCTACAAAGGAAGAGGGACTTCTGGGTTCTTGAGAGGAGAGTGAAATCTAGAGGGTGGGGCTGGGCACAAGCCCCCCAGGATTTTCTGGAGAGACAAAGATACCTAGTGGTTTTTTGTTTTTTATAAAAGAGGGTAGGGTTTGGAAAATAATGGGGACCTTTCCATTTGGGACAAAGGTACTCCTGGATCTCTTAGGAGAGGGTGGGGTGTATGTAGCCAAGCTTTGTGCAGGGAGATCTTCGGATCTGGAATCTAGCATGCCTGGATTTTCAACAAGGGTGCCTGATCAAAATTTTACATTTAAAAAGTAAGCAAACATTTGGAGCATTGATGTCTGCTCTGTCGAGGTGAGGGACTTTTGTCCCAACTGTAAAATGGCGCCATCATGTTTTGGAATGGAGCACTTCCTTAATATGTGAAGTAAATGGAAACGGCATTCTCATGGTGGAACATAAAGGTAGATGCATGTAAAATATAGGAGACTGCTTACATAGGTCTTTTGTAAGGCCTTAATAGCACAGCATTGGTTCATTGGGAAGATGATTGGAAATAGATTATCCAATCTCTGGCAAACTGAGTTTCCCAACCACCTCTAAATCTGTTTTTAAATAGTAGCTTTCTTCTGTTGCCTTTGTGAAATATGCTTGGCAGGAATTGGAGGGAAAGTTAGGTCCTTTTTTTTTTTTTTGGTCTTGGAGATCTCTAACACTCCCTCCTCAGTTCAGAAGACAAGATCTTGTGTTGTTGTTTTTTACTAAACTAAATAGCCATTTGCGAACTCAAACCTCAGCTTATCTGCTTCCTCTAAACAGGAAGACCTCCGTCCCTCATCCCAAACATACTGACCAATTAAATACACCCTACACATCCTATTAGGAGAGTTAAAGTTCTGTGTGTCAATCTTAGCCCGTCCATGAGTTATCCCAAAACTTGGTGGAGCCCGCTTCCGAAACCATTGTTGATTTTAACATCTCCTTTCCGCTCCTTGGGAACAACTTCCAGGATCTAGACCTTCTTATAAGATTTGGGGAGGATCTGTAGGAATATTTTGCTCTCTTTGTCAATATGTATAAAACGTGTGCCTCTACACTGATGCTTCTCTCCTTAGGTGGATTCACATGACCATTTTTCTAAAGGTTTTTAACCCAATTCCACTAGTTTGCGTATCTTAGGCTAATTTGTAAATATTTCAAGATATGTTCATCAACATCAAGAAAATCAACTGTTTGGGGGAAATTATTCCAAATGTGTAATGTAGACATGGGCTGAATGAAACACAAAAGCCATGGGCCAAAGTCTAGAAGCAAGCTGATATGTGGGTTGATGGGATTCAGTCAGATTCTGGAAACACCATAAATCCATAATGCACATCACCATAAAAACATATTTTGTTGTTGTTGGCAGCTCAGATTTTGATGCGCTGCAACAAAGGGAATACCTGGGTACTACATTTGCCCATATATACAAACCCCAGTTCTGTGCTTCACATTCTCAACCCTCATTACAGTTGACACTCACAACATGCACATTAGAACACAGGATGATGGAAGACACAGACCAGGTAGAAAATAAGTGCTTGGTCACATGGAGAATGCCATGAACTAGTCTCATACACACATTCGACACAGATTAACTGCAAAAACACAGTATGTGCTGGAGAAAAACAATGGCAAAATGGTTGTACGGATCTGTATTGATTGTCATTTTAGTAAATGTAGGGCAATATATTGGACCCCTCCATTATAAATAGAAAGAGGAATACAACTACGTTGTGGATAAGAGTATAAAAGTGAGGTCCAGTGCAAGAGAGCAGGTGTGCCTAGAAGCAAGGATGTCCAAAATCTCTGGAGGAGACATTGGGTGGCTGCCTACACCAGGTGTGGGGAACCTTTGCCTCCCCACTCCAATACTGGTGAACTACGACTCCCATCACCCCTGGCCATTGACCATGCTTGCTGGGGCAGATGGGAGTTGTAGTTCAGTAGAATCAGGAGCGGCAAAGATTCCCCACACTTGATTGGGACTGCAAGGGAGAAAGGGCTGAAAGAGATGTGATGTTGGAATTAAATCAATTTGAAGCAGCTAGCTTTATCCATTGCAGATCTACAGTAATAGCAGATCAGGAATATCTCACATCACATCTGTTTTGGCTTTCAAGGGAGGGGCCTAGAAGCCAGAAATCCTAGGTTTGTTGGAATCAGTGAAGGATGCAGACCAGAGTTTTAATGTTTGCTCCAAATAAACACCAAATGTCTTCTCTTGTGTATGTGTGTACATATATATATATAAACTTAGCATAGGTTTTTCTATCACTCTCTCTCTCTCTTTGTAAATACTGTTTTTTTCCTGGGCTTTGATAGCGTTCATTTGTGGAATGGGCGTAGCTACATGGGGGTATGATGTTAATTGTCTTGAATTTTCATACTTCAAACTGGATGCAATAAACCTGCCAAAGAAACTGCAACCCTTTCCCACATGCTTTTTGGTCTTTGCTTTTAAGACTCCAAAAGTTTCTTTCATAACACACATTGCATCTAGATAGCACTTGTCCAAGACCCAGGATATTAGCTCATGATCAAACTAGACCTTGACTTTCCTCCACATTTCTTTTAAATACAGTGGCACTTTGGTTCTCAAACTTAATCTGTTCCGGAAGTTCATTCCAAAACCAAGATGCGCTTTCCCATAGATTAATCCATTCCAGACTTTTTTTTAAAAAAACCCCTAAAACAGCAATTTAACATGAATTTTACCATGTAACGAGACCATTGATCCATGAAATGAAAGCAATAAACAATGTACTGCAGTCACACAATCAATCAATCAATCAATCAATCAATCGCTGAACTGGGTTCCACACAGTCACAAAAACAAAACCAAAAAGCCGCAAAAACAAAAACGCAAAATAAATAGCAAAAACAGTGTAACATTCAAAGCGGAAGCGTAACACTCAAAATGGAGCACGTTTGGCTTCTGAAAAAAGTTCACAAACCGGAACACTTACTTCCGGGTTTGCGGTGTTTGGGTTCCAAGTTGTTTGAGTACTAAGGCGTTTGAGAACCAAGGTACCACTGTACAAGCAGTTTTAGCAGGGCTGCTAGGCTGAGTGGAAGAATGGCCGGGTGGGGGAAATGCTGCGTTTTTCCTCCAGGAATTATTTTCCAACCTCAAAATACCCCTCCCCAATATGGCGCTCTTAAAATAGTTCTTAAGAGTGAAAGGAAACCTCTGGTTTTTCTCTTGTTGATGGAAAATCAGGTGGCGTAGGTGGGCAGGGATTGACCAGAAAACCAGCTGGAAAGGGTTAAGCAACCCCCCCCCCATTCTGCTGTTCTCAGTTGCAGCATCTGAGGCTTCTTTTTTACTTTTCAACTTGCTTTTGCTGCCTCCGAGGCTGATTTTCAGGGTTTTTTTTTTAATGACAAAATTATTGGGGGAATATGTTATCCCTATATTGTGGGTATGGAGGCTGCAAGTAAGAACTGGACACGGACACACAAGTAAGATTATGACCAAGGGGAGATTTGAGCTCCCACCCAGATTTACAGCTCATGCTTTTAACTACTGAATGTCATTTATGGAGTTTGACAGTTGACTACCTTTCAGGGAGAGAAGAGTGTATGCAGCACTAATTGCATTTCAGCTATCAAATACTGAATAGCATCCCTAATATACCGTCAGCTAAGATGTATTGAACAGAGATATGAAATATTCAGTCAACGTTGGGCAACGCAATGCAGAGAGCTTAGCAGTTTTTGACCCCGTCAGCTGAGCAGATGGGAGATGTTCCAGGAACATGTGTGAATTGCTATGGAGGGAAGAATAAGGGTATTATGAGCAATTGCTAATAATGTTCAGAGAATATCCAGCGGATATCTTGCATCAAAATTCTCAAGGGGAAAACCTGAGAATTTCATTTGGAGAAAAGTGATTTCAGCATTGCTTTGGCTCGTCTCCAGGCAGGTCATTCACTTGTTCTTGATCCCATTAGCAGTGGCTCAGGCCAGATCTGGCCCCTCAGCTGTGGGATGGACATGCAAGGTCAGCAGAGCAGCAAAGTATTAATAGCCTCAGGAAGGATGCATTAGTGACCCCGAGGCCAATAGAGAGATCTTGTCTGGCTCCAGGAAGCAGGGCAGGGGGTGGGGAGAAAGGCAGTATCTTGCTTCCGCTTCTCCACAGCAAGCTGGTCTCAGGAGCTGTAGTTGATGCCCACCCAATATTATCTGACATTTCCCCTTCTGCTTTCCCAAATCAATACAATGCCTGGACCTAAAAGGCTCAGCTCAAATACAAAGTGAGCAGTACACATGGTTCTTCTCTGGCTCAGATTTTCAACTGAGCTGGAGAAAGTTCAATCTGATCCAGAGAGGAATCAGTGTCCTCACTCATGGGCTACACCCTTGAACCATATTGCACAGAGCTGGTGCTCTGTGAAAGTCCCCCATCCTTTTGCCTGATGCGTTGCTATGCAGAGGGCGAACATCTGGCTGAAGGCAAACCCTGGAATGGCTGTTTCTCAGAGGCTGCTTCACAGCAGGGAGGTAGGAGAGATTTTCCTCCTTTCTCCCCGTTTGCTGCTACTGGAGTACTTCGAAGCACCGGTCTTCATAAGAGAGGATGGAGGGAAGTGATCAGTGGATGGGTGTGGTGAAGAGGACTGGGTTGATACATAGAAGACTCACTCCAAATTTGGATTTGGAAATAAGATGAGCTACAGTGGTACCTCGGGTTAAGTACTTAATTCGTTCCGGAGGTCCGTTCTTAACCTGAAACTGTTCTTAACCTGAAGCACCACTTTAGCTAATGGGGCCTCCTGCTGCTGCTGCGCTGCCAGAGCACGATTTCTGTTCTCATCCTGAAGCAAAGTTCTTAGCCCGAAGCACTATTTCTGGGTTAGCTGAGTCTGTAACCTGGAAACGTATGTAACCCAAGGTACCACTGTATTCCCCATTTTTTTTGGAATGGGGAAGAGAGTGGAGCTCACCCATCACTACCCCGGAGAGGGGGTGAGGTTGTACATTTGCTGGGCCCCCAAAACCAGCTTACTTTCTTAGTTACATCCCAAAGAGCTTGTTCTCTCAACCTTTGATTCAAGGGTGGTAAACCATGATGCTGCTGGACTTCCAACCCCCATCATCTCCAGACCATTGGCAATGCTGGCAGAGGCTGATGAGCGGTGAAACCCAATGATATCCTGTGGGGCCACAGGTCCCCCAGTCCAGCCCACATTTAGCTGTACTCACCAGATGGGATATCACACAAAGGGACAGACAAGGAAAAGTTTGAAACAAAAAGTACACAACTAGATGTTGTAGCCACGAGGTTGCCATTTCCAAGATGCAGATTGCAAGCCGATCGCATGGTCGGCGGTTCGAATCCCCGTCGTTCGGTCCCAGCGCCTGCCAACCTAGCAGTTCGAAAGCACCCCCGGGTGCAAGTAGATAAATAGGGACCGCTTACCAGCGGGAAGGTAAACGGCGTTCCGTGTGCTGCGCTGGCTCACCAGATGCAGCTTGTCACGCTGGCCACGTGACCCGGAAGAGTCTGCGGACAGCGCTGGCTCCCGACCTATAGAGTGAGATGAGCGCACAACCCTAGAGTCTGGCAGGGGTACCTTTACCTTTACCTTACCATTCCCCAAATTGGGAAAAATGATTCAGTTTCCCCCCAACTGTGTGCAATTGCTCCATCTTGGCTCTTTCAGGTTCAATTAATACTACTAATAAAGACTCCTGCAACACATAGACAAGTCTGCAGTGTTTACATCTCATCCAACGACGCATACATTAAAATTTAAATAATAATTAACATTTTTTTTCTTTTTTAAAAAAGAGACATCGTCATCATAAAAGGAAATGGATTTAAAAACAAGAAAAAATGCCCACTTTTTTCTTTCTTTCTTGTTCTGGAACAGGTGGGGGCTGCTATATTGCCCCCACTCCAGCAACACAGGTATACAAATCCACAATGAGAAGTTTGCCATGGGAGGGGTGGTAAGAGTCAAATTTTACCATTGATATTGCTGTAGAACTAGTCCTCATCTTTCAATTGCACCAATGCTGGGCGTTGCCAGAGCTACCATGTGAATAGCTTCTTGTAAAAGTCCAAAAATGAGATGATTTGGAGGCAGGATGAAGGTGGGGAAGAGAGAGAAGCTGTCTGCATGTGATGCTGGAAAGAAAACTAGCCACAAATGGCCAGAGAGAGAAACTGGGACTCAGAGCCAAACTATCAGTGACATTAAATGCACCTTTATAATTAATATGCACTCTTTAAAAAATGCAAACAGCCATGGTGATCGTGGCGAATAATTATTAAGATCGCAGTAGGGCAGGAGGAGGAATTGAATTTTCCTTTTCTTGCTGCAGTCATGCTCATTAAAATGTGCAATGGGAGCTGCCATCCCAGTGCAAACAGCAGCTTGGGAGGCACAATTTTTTGCCAGGTGATGTGTCAAACGCCCCCCCCCCCCCGCCTGCTGCAATCCTGATAATTATCAGCACCCCACTCCACATTAGCTGATATTTGCATTTAGAAAAATGTGCCTGTTCAATGCAGGCACATTTAAAGTCAGGAGTTTTTCTCAGAACTAAAAGGGGACTATGGAAAGGCAGTGAGATCTAACAGGAAAAGGGCTGTAAACTTGTTATTTCCTAGAACTGGGTTCTAGTAGTACAGAATACAGGCTTCTAGGATTTCGGGGAAGAGTGGGTGACTGATGACAGCTGCTAGGATCAAAATTTCCAGGCGCTTTGGGAGCAATGAAATAATTTAATTGCGCAAGGGGAATGGCCTGTTCAGCAGAATAATTGTAAATATATGCTTCCCATAAATTTGGAAAAGTTGAATTGAGAGAATAAAGACGGCTGGTTTGCCATCTTTAATATCAAGTGACCCGATTCAGACAGTCAATGACACATACTTTCTATAAGTTCTAATTAAACTTGGCCCTTACCATGTCAGTTACACCCAAACGGAATAGCTCTCCCTCTCACACACCCATATTAACTGAAAATTAATACCAAACCGTTTTCCTTTCCTTGTCCTGCCTCCAATCCTTTTGCCTTTCTTCCATACGGAAAGAGTGGATCTCACTGTGACTGAGACCAAACTACATCCCTTTTAAATCCAGGATGCCTCAAACCAGATTTACCTATGTTTCAAGGATTTAAAATGGCCGCTGTCCTAAAAAAATGCACTTCATCCCTGGCTTGCGGGTAATGGGAAGTTTAAAATGCTCACAGCAGAAAAAGACAAGGCCACACTCCTGTTGCAGTCAAAGACCTTTGCAGGCTTACAAGCACTTTGCAGCAAATCTCACCAGGTCTTCGCAAAGGAGTTTATAAACTTTTGTTGAAAAGCGCTTCACGTGGCTCTAGCAATCACACCTCAGGACCGTAATAAGTCCTGCAGGACCCCAGCTGCCATACCCAAGGGTTTGCCTGAGGCAAGTTAAGTGGTGGAAG